AAAATTTTAATGAAAATTAAATAAATTTAGAAAAATTAAATAAACGTTATTTGTATAATCAGTTTAATTAAATTGACATTCATTTCTATGAGCCTGCGTTGTTCTGGATTATTTCAAGTCATTCTTTCATGTTAAAATATTCAACGACATTGATACCTTGATTTAACTCTCCCCATTTAGTAAAATTGTATTTCATCAATGCTTTTTCACGTCTCAGCCGTTCTTATACGGGAAAGTCCAACGTTCATGTTCCCGTACTTAACAGAAACCATTATTTACCGTGAGAGAAAGAATTGCTCCAGAGATTAATTAGCTAAAGCTTTGTTGTACTTATTTTTTGGGTTGCACCTTGAGCCGTTATGGCATTGAACTGTGACCTGTCAAAGTGGTCAAACAGAAAAGCAGCTACAAGAAGCGTTCTAATCAACAGCATGGGCAAATAACTCGGCCATTCTGGCATGGCCGGACGAAAATATCATCTTGGATTTGTTCTTTGCAAGTCAGCTGCTTTCTGCCCGTTTCTCAGCTGGTTAGGTCATTGCAACATGAGGAAAATTCTCTGTTCAAGGGAATCAGCAATTAAGGAAAATTTGTTTTTTGGGACTCGAACCCGGCACCTGCAAAATTTTATGTCGATGTTCTCGCTGTGCTGTAGTCTGTTCATTATCACTGATGGTTTAGAAACCGCAGCTTTTCCTCGCTTTCTTAATAGCATTATAAAATTCGCACCAAGTACTAAACATTTTTAGTGATATAATATTTCTGCAAGCCCAGTGGACGTCAGATGGATTCTTCGATAAAATTATGGAAATTTATCTGACACTACTGGTTTTAAAATACCATGAAGCTGTGGCCTGCTTGAATTGCTCTGTTAGGCAACTAAAAGCAAGGGAGCGATGCGATGCACCGTAAAACCTGCAGAAGTTATGTGGCATTTAGCATATCAGGGTTACCAAAATACGTTTATGAAGGCAGAGGATAGAGACTTATTCATTTTTCTTACACGTTAATAGTGTCGGGTTCAAATCTGAATCCCATGATATATTTAGCTGTTGCAAATTCACTTGTAAAAATAGTTCACCGTACTGTAATATTGTTTAAAATATCGAGAAAGCAACACCAGCGAAATAATGAGGTGCAATCCTTGTGTTTTTCGTGGTTAGTTCATCTGATGGTTGACACTATCATTGCAAATCTAATCTATCGTGTCAACCTCAGTCTGTGCTAACTCTGTTACTAACTATCTTACATAATTGCTTCATATGGAAAGAAGAAGTTTCTAGAGATGAATATGAATTCGCCGTCATTGAACTGTATAAGTTTTCAAATCGACTGCTAACAAGCTCAAAACTGAAACTGAAGCTAAACTTACTGTTTGTACCAGATCGTTTAAAAAGCATGCTCATCCATTTAAATTAACAAATAAAATTCAATTTTTCACTTCAGTTTTAATGACGTCTTCCTCGCCCAAGTTGCGAAAGAAGATCCACCAGACAGTGCATCCAGCGTTCCTGATCATGTGCCAGTGTTTGACCTTTGACAGAAGACAACCGGAGTCTAGAGCACAGTCCTTCGGTATACTAGCCGTCTCCTGAGTCTTCTTCCGGTCAGATGGGTAGGTAGTAGTTCCGTCGACTTCTTTTCTGGAGGTATTCGCATAGCAACACGTGCCCAAAGCGTCGCAACTGTGACTTCTCAATCTGGAGAAGCAAAGACTGTATTCCAAGGCTCTTTCGGATGTCACTATTCCGGACCATGTCGAGACGCGTAAGGCCAATGACTCATCTAAGAAAGCCCATTTAAGCAGCTTGTACCCGGGTTCGAAGTTTTTCAGTGATAGTCCACGATTCATGACCGTAGGTAAATATGGGGATAAGGATCGACTTGAATATCGAAAGCTTAGTTTTCAGACTGAGCTCTGTTTTAGTCACAATGGGTCGGGCTAATTCACACAGAACACCACTGGCCTTCAGCGGCCAATCTCTTCCTCAAATTTTCCATAGCATGTGAATACGACTCCAAGGTACTTCACCTGCTCCACTGTCTCTCCGTTAATCTGAAGAGAGCAACTGGCAGGAGAACAAGAAAACACTACGCTTTTCGTTTTAGGTACGTTCACACGCATGCCCGCAATGTCGCACTCAACTGCGAAATTTTCGATTTAGCGTTTCAGTTGACGCCAACAAATCGAAGTCTTCTGAAAACAGCGAAATTCTTTTCTCGACATCTGCTGGTGCACTCATTGCTTTAGGTACGCCTGACTGTTCCATCCATGTACGACACAAGCAAGAGAGTGGACATGACGCAGCCTTGGCCAAGACCAGTGCCAACGCTGAAAGTTTTCGACTTAATGCTATTTACTCTGACGCAGCACATACTATCAGCTTGTAGTGACTGGCCGCTGGCCATCGATCCCATATGTCTGCAGGCATGACCATCGACTGTTGCGCGGTCATAGCATTTCTCTAGGTCATCAAACCACATATACACCGAATCAGCGAACTCCTGCGATGTGTTAATAATCTGGCGTAGGGCGAATGGTCAGGTGTATGCCAGACCGGAAGCCACACAGCCCTTGTATTTTCGAGTCAGTTATTACGCGGCACCTTTCTAGCACCAATGAATAGTCCCGGTTGACCCAATATGGTAAAGTACCGATAATTGAAGCACTTTCTATGGTCTTTTTTTCTTAACAGGGGTACCATAATTTTCGTTCTACACTGAGCTGGTGTCTTCTCTGTAGTATCTGCAGGTTGACAGACACGTGCAAGGCAACACATGCCTTGTCCACCTAGTGCTTGTGTAATTTCATCCACAGAGATAGTAATATCCGTTCCCTGCTGCTCTACAGATGAGTCTTCCTGCGGTTGCTCAGGGTTAATGAGTTCATCAGAGCACTCTCTCCCTCGCCGAAGAATGTCGTCATTTCTCGTAAGAGGGTGTCCAGGCCTGTCCTTCAAGACTCTGAAACTGCCCTTCTTTTCATCTCGGAGCCCGGCGGTGGTCTGCCAGAATACTTTGTTTGCCGTGTGGAAATTCGACTCCAACACCTCACTGAACTTCTCCCAGGATTCGCTTTGGCTTTTGCCACTGCTTTGTTTCCAAGCCATTTTTTGAGCGCTGCTTTCTTCTCTTTAAATGTCAATTGCACCTCTCGTTCCACCATGAAGATCTTTTCTGAGCTCCAGGCGGCAGGCCAACCGCTTTATATCCGCAGCATTCGGCGGCAGCTTCGAATATGCCGCTATTAAAGAGCTGCCACTCAGTTTCAACATCACTTGTCAGCACTGGGATCTGTTCAAACCGTTGCGATGTTGTTTGCAAATTTCGCTCTCGTGTCCAGTGAAGACAATC